CTGGCTCTGAATTAGGCTTTCTCTCATGTGCTTTCCATCAGGTGGCAGCTGGAGCTGGAGTCATCTGAAGGTTCCATGTGGCTGGAAATCCAAGATGACTTCTTCACTCACATGGCTGAAAAAGCTGGGAGCTGACCAGGCATCTCTCTCGCTCCATGTATCTTCTCCACGTGGCAAGCTCGGCCTTCCCCACAGCATTGGCAGTCTCGAGGTGATCAAATTTCTTACATAGTGATAGGCTTCTCCAGAGCAAACACGCCAGTAGGCTCAGGTAGAAGCGGAAAGACTTCTTCTGACCTAGCCGGAAAGCCCCAAAATGTCAGTCACTATCATTGTATGCTATTGGTCAGAGTCACTAAGACCCACCCCAGGTTTGAGGGGAAGGGAATTAGACTCTGCCTCTTGACCTGAGTACCATGGATATAAAGGGAGGGAGGAAACTGCTGGAGAACAATTTTGGAGAATACCTACCATAGAAAGACCACTAAACAAACAGGTTTGGGGGTGGGAAATCAGAAGTGCTCTTAGGGCAAGTTAAGTTTGTGGTGCTCATTGAACCAAGTGAATAGATAGATACATATGAAATCAGAGAAAGACTGGGCTTAAAAATATCAAATTAGGAGATGTAATTTTAGAATCAAGGCACTGGATGGGATCACCTAACGAGTCAGTTTAGTGAGGAAGAGCCACCAGGGAATTTAATGGGAAACAGGGGAGTGTGAAGCCAAATAAAAAAGCACTTTGAAAAGAAGAGATGATCAGTAGTCATATCCCATGGTGCCGAAAGATCAGACAAGATGAGGACTGAGAAGTGACCACTGAGTATAGCAAGAGTCAGTAATTAATGACGAAAAAAATGGTGGGATGAAACTCGATTATTGTGAATTGAAGAGGGAGTGGAAAAATCAAGTGAAAGCAAAGTTATCAAGAGATTTTCATAGAAATGGGATCGTTATTACTGAGTGGAGATTTGGGGTCTAAGAAGAGTTTGTTTTTGTTTTGTGTTTTTGTTTTAAGATAGGAGAAAGTACAGCCTATCACAAGTGGATGAGAATGGATGACATATTGGGTTGTCAGAAAAGTCATAACGCATTTTTGCAATGAAAAACATAGAAAAAATACGTCATGACTTTTCCGACAACCCAATAGTAGAAAGAGAGCTGAGGCAGCAGAGGAAAAAGTAATTGCGAAGCAAAGTCTTGAGTAGCTAAGAGGTGACAGGACTGAAAAGGGTGAACTGGAAAGACAGGCGGTGTTGGTCCGTGAAATAACATTTGAATTAGAGATTTTGAATTAGAGATTTTCAAGATGCCACGGTTATGCTAATGCCTAGGTCTAGAGTAAGATTATGAGTTGGTGGTTGAATGTGGGAAGTCAAGGAGCTGAGACCAAGGTTGTCATGAATGATAAGAGCAGTCTGGAGAGAGAAACAGCCTGCGAGTCAGATGCTGAAACTATGAGGAAGTGCACATCTGAGAAAATTAAGCCTGAATGTCTAAAAGCATCTGTGGTGGCCCTGTCAATGGAGCTGAGATGGAACTGTGTTTCCCAGAATTCCCCTCCCTGTGTGGTTCTGTGTTAGTGTTGGCCACAAGGGAAACGTTGCACCAGATTTGGAGGAGGAAGTAAAGCAGCAGCCAGGTTATTTTTCTCCTGTGAAGGTGGTGGAGGGCTGTGGAAGCTTGCACCAGTCCATGCTGATTACAACTTCCCCTTGGTTGGGATGGGCCAGCACCTGGGCCTGAGCTTCCTCAGTTCCCTCCAGGTCTCTTGCTTCGACTTCTCCAAGTCCTGGACAAACTACATGTCAGCTCCATGGTGAAGGATGCCAGCTTCCCCTGTGGGCCACCCCCTGTGGCACTGATCAACATCTCCTCATTTCCCCATACCCTCAGTCCCTGGCAACCACCATTCTACTCTGTTTCTATGAATTCAGTTTTTAGACTCCACATATAAGTGAGATTATACAGTATTTGTCTTTTCTCTGTCTGATTTGTTTCACTTAGCATAATGCCTTCAAGGGCTATCTATGTTAACACAAATGGCACGATTTCCTTTTTTATGGCTGAATAATATTCCATTGTGTGTATATATATATTTTTCTTTATTATTCTTTGTCCATTGATGGACACTTAGGTTGTTTCCATATTTTGACTATTCTGAATAATGCTGCAAAGAACATGCGAGTGCGGATATTTCTTCAACACCCAGCAATCCCACCCAGAAGTGGGATTGCTGGATTATATGGGAGTTCTATGTTAATTTTTGGAGAAATCTCCATACTGTTTTCATTGTGACTGTACCAATTATTCCCACCATCAGTGCACCAGGGTTCCCTTTTCTCCGCACCCTCGCCAGCATTTATCTTTTGTTTTTTGATAATAGCGATTCTAACAGCTGTGAAGTGATACTTCATTGTGGTTTTGATTTCCATTTCCCTGATGATTAATGCTGTTGAGCACCTTTTCATGTATTTGTTGGCCATTTGTATGCCTTCTTTGAAAAAATGTCTATGTAAGTCCTCTGTCCATGTTTTAATTGCATTGTTTTACTATTAAGTTGTATGAATTCATTATATTTTTTTGGGTATCAATCCCTTATCATATATGTGATCTGCAAATATTTTCTCCCATTCTGTAGGTTCTAGCTGGGTTTTAATTAGAGCAAGAAGGTGAAGATCCAGCTCAGAAAGCAGGCTGAGGATATGGGAGATTTTGCTGAGAACAGATTGAGAGCGCCAGTGAAAGTGGGGGTTTTTTTAGGGGGAGGGGGAGTTTATAATGGGAATTAAGTCAGTTTAAGAGATGTACAGAGTGATGTGGGGATTAATGTCTGGGTAATGAGGGATGGCTTGGAGGTCTGGTGACTATCAATGAAAACCTGATGCGAAGCACGGTGGTACTCATGGTCTCTGGGACTTAGGGAGAAGGGGGCTCATTTGTTCTCCTATTTCATCATCGCCTCCTTCTCAGGCTTATATCAAGTACCTGATAGCCCAGTAGACCTGACATTTCGTGAGACTGGGGTGCTGAAGCGTCTCTGGAGCAAGCAAAGCTCCTGGCCCTTCCTTAAATCCTACTGAGAGGTGTATCAAGGCCAGGGACAAATTTTACAAATAACAACAACGAAGGAAAAAATGTGGTCCTCTAGAGCCGTGGTTTTCAACGTTTGGTCCCCAGACAAGCAGCAGCAGCAGCAGCAGCAGTAGCAGCAGTAGCAGCATGCCTGTGAACTTTTTAGAAATGCAGATTCTCAGGCCCCACCAGTCCTACTGCATCAGGGACTCCAGGAGTGGGCCCTGCAATCTGGGTTTTTTAACCAGGCCACCAGGCAAGGTCTCATGCTCACTAAGGTTTGAGACCCACTATTCTAAAGGAACTCAGCAAACATTAGCTTAAAGATGCAGCTGAAGGTTGACCTTGTTCTTAGGAGCCTAAAATCGCATAGCATTAAAGATGAAAGGCCTTTTCCAAGGGTCTAGTCTGGCCTTGAACTTTACCTATGAAGGATCCAAGTCACAGAGGAGTGTGACTTGTCTAAGCCCTTCTGGCAGGACTGAGATTATAACTTCAAATAACAAAAAAAGATACCAAAACAACCCAGAGCCTGGGAGACAGTTGTTTAGATGGGCCACACACTTGCAGCCTTTCTATTTTTTTCAACATAGGTTGATATTGTATATGTGTTTTCTACGACTCGAGTTGGAGAGAGAAAAAAAAAATCTGCTTTACCTCAATCTGGTTCTTTTAAGGTTTATTTTGTTTTGTTTCGGAGACTGCAGAGGTGCAGCTTCCTAAGGCAGACCCTGCGCCTCAGAGGACTGCATCAGCCTCCGCGGGAACCGGAGGCTTTTCTGTAGCCTGATAAGTCGGCTAGGGCTCTGTTCTCATTTTTGCCATTTCCAATTCACTTGGCCTCCGGGGAGAGACGGACAGCCGAACTCTGTGCGCCCTGGAGCCCCGGCTCCCTCTGTTTCTGGAGAGGAGATTTAGCCTTAATTTTTGTGACACATGGAGTTGATAGTCTCTCCACGGAAAGGGAAAGAAAAAGCGCCAGTTTTTGACAGGCCACAGACGCCCGGTGCCTCTGGCGGTCGTCCGCGGCGTTGCGCCGCGAGTTAAGGTAGTTCGCGCACTCCCGCGCCTGGATTGCGGAGGCAGCTGTACCAGCTCGGCTTCCTTTAAACCGCGCGAGGGATTGAAACATACACTTTAATAGAAACCTTGGTGCATGCCAGTTTTATCCCCTTCCTTTATGTTGAGACTGCGGCCAGATGGTACTGCTCAACATTCCTAAAGATTTTTAATGCTATTATTTTTTCATCACCGATCGTGTTAGTAACTTATAGTCTTAAAAAACTAATTTGGTTGAATGGATTTCTGTCTTGCATTGTCAAAGATGCCTGGCTCCAAGGCCATACCTGCCAGATCTGCAAATGGGGACCCGGAGCGGGGAGGGGAGGAGGGGAGGCCCCGGGTTGTAAATCTCTCATCAGCATCTTCCTAAAATGTGTGCCTCTTTCTTTGTGCGTTTGGGTTGGATTTTCTTTTTTTTTTAAGTTTCAAAGCCCCACATTAAATTCTCTGATTCCCCCTCCTCCTGTGATGATCGGGACACAAAGACAGGGCACTCGAAAAAGAAACCGAATTCTGAACCTAGTCGAAGGCACAGATGGAAGCCAGGGAGAATTAATGCAACTACCAAAAAAAAAAAAGTTAAAAGGACCAAACAAAAAGGCCCGTGGCCGAGCCGGATGCAAACAGCTGCCCCTAAGCCCTGCCCGCTGTTCCTGAGCGCGAGCTGAGGCTCCATATCTGAGCCTCCTTAAGAGTAGGAGGAGCTCCCGGGCCTCTGTCAGGCTCCTTAAACCCTTCCTTTCAAGCCCTGAATGCCTGAATGTGAGCTGCCCACCGCCCTCCCCTCCCTCCCCCACTCCGCAACCTCACTCCAGCGGCTCGTAAAAAAAAAAAAAAAAAAAAGTTTCAACAACAACAGGCAGGACCAATAGCATCTCGAAAAGCCGGGAAAGGGGGCAGAGCAAAGAGCGAAAGAGAGTGGAGAAAGGAGAAAGCGGGCAGGCTTGGAGCGCGCGGGGCCGGGGTTCGGCGAGCCGGAGGAGCGTTGCTAATGTTTTTGTTTGTTTGCTTTTCCATGCATGCATAATGAGGGGGCACCGCGGCACCACGCGGGGGCTCCCGGCCCACTTTTGTATTTAAAGCCTCGCTGCAAGCGAATCCGCAGCCGAGCTCAGCGGATCCGCTCCCCGGGCTCCTTGTCTGTCACCCGAGAAGCCGCCGCCGAGGGAAGCCCGGGAGCCGCTCTCGGGCCGCGCCGAGTTTCTTGTTCTCCTCGCGCCGCCTGGAAAGGGCTCCTGGGTGCTCGGCCGAGGCCCGGGTCGTCGCGGGCGGAGGGGGAGGGGACGCGGGCGGCCGGGCCGCGGGAAGGCGGGCAGCGCACGCACGCGAGCCAGGAAGCGGCGCGATGCGAGAGCTGGCGGCGGCGGCGGCGGCGGCGGCGGCGCGGCGCTGAGCCCAGGAGGAAGGAGCTGCTTGCAGCCGCACAACGGATCTGCAGGCGCGGAGCAAAATGCACCCGCGGCGCCCCGCGGTCCTGCAGCCCCGCCGCGGCCCCGCGGCCCGCAGCCCCCCGGGGCGGCAGTGAGCGCCTCCCGCCACCGCCGGGGGCCGACCGGAGGTGCTCTTCGCGGCTGTGCATTTCTAGGAAGCCTCTTCAGTCCAACCGAGAGCCGACCTTCTGTAAGCAGCGGGGCACCAGCCTGCGGCGCGCATGGATTTATGAAAACACTAATGCAAGAAGTTGGCAGGACTGGGGCAAACTTTTCCACCCGCTCCGCGTCCGCCGCTCCCCGCGCCTCGTCTCCTCTCCCCTCCTCGCCCAGCGGCCGCCGCTGCCCGCGATGGTGGCAGGGCTGCTGGGCGGCGGCGGCGGGGCCCGCGGGGGGACCGTGCCGGGCGCCTGGCTGTGCCTGATGGCGCTGCTGCAGCTGCTGGGCTCGGCGCCGCGGGGCTCGGGGCTGGCGCACGGCCGCCGCCTCATCTGCTGGCAGGCGCTGCTGCAGTGCCAGGGGGAGCCGGAGTGCAGCTACGCCTACAATCAGTACGCCGAGGCGTGCGCGCCCGTGCTGGCTCAGCGCGGCGGGGGCGACCCGCCGGGGGCCGCCGCTGCCTTCCCAGCTTCCGCCGCCTCCTTCTCGTCGCGTTGGCGCTGCCCGAGCCACTGCATCTCGGCTCTCATTCAGCTCAACCACACGCGCCGCGGGCCCGCCCTGGAGGACTGTGACTGCGCGCAGGACGAGAACTGCAAGTCCACCAAGCGCGCCATTGAGCCGTGCCTGCCCCGGACCAGCGGCGGCGGCGCGGGCGGCCCGGGCGCAGGCGGAGTCATGGGCTGCACCGAAGCCCGGCGACGCTGCGACCGCGACAGCCGCTGCAACCTGGCGCTCGGCCGCTACCTGACTTACTGCGGCAAACTCTTCAACGGGCTGCGCTGCACGGATGAGTGCCGCACAGTCATCGAGGACATGCTGGCCGTGCCCAAGGCGGCACTGCTCAACGACTGCGTGTGCGACGGCCTCGAACGGCCCATCTGCGAATCGGTCAAGGAGAACATGGCCCGCCTGTGCTTTGGCGCCGAGCTAGGCAACGGCCCGGGCAGCAGCGGCTCGGACGGGGGCCTGGACGACTACTACGACGAGGAGTACGACGACGAGCAGCGCGCCGGGGGCGCGGGCGGGGAGCAGGCGCTGGACGACGACGACGGCGTCCCGCACCCACCGCGCCCGGGCGGCGGCGCTGCTGCGGCGGGCGGCCGCGGGGACCTGCCCTACGGGCCCGGGCGCAGGAGCAGCAACAGCGGCGGTGGCCGCTCAGCCCCCCGAGGCACCTGGACCCCTCTCGCCTCCATCTTGCTGCTGCTGCTGCTGCTCCCGCTGCTGTTTTAGCCCTCGCGCCCCCCGCCGTCAGCGGCGGGAGGGCCAGCGCCTGGGCACCTGTGGCTTGGGGACAGAGGGGATGGCTTGGGGATAGTTGCCAAAACGTTTTCAAAGTAGACTCTGCCTAGCCGGTCTCCCCGCCACGATTCTTGGCACTTTCCCTGTCTCTCCCGAGCATGATTTCTTGGACATCCTCCCCTGTCCCCATTCCAGGCTCCAGAAGCTCCCAACTGGTCTGCCCTGCAGAAACTGGCCTAGCTCTAGAATCCGGGACGCCTGGCGTGGAATGGGAGTGGGGGAACAGAACCGCAGTCCTGGACTCCGAAGAGGATTGCTGACCAGTGGGGCCTTAACGGTTTCAAGGGACTGGGCTTGGAGCAGGGGATTCGAAGGGGGAATTTATATTTGCAAAAAGTCTGTTTGTTTATGAGCATTTTTCCAGTGGGGGGGGGGAGGGCCGGTATCGACTTTTATTGTGGCCAGTGAGGACACTGCAATCGTAAGTAATCAGAGAAGTCCCACTTACCTGTTCATTTCGTTTACTCTTGGTACCAACGCCCTGAATTCTCTTTTTTTTTGGGGGGGGGGGTTAATATTCCTGAATTAGTTTTGGATAACTTGGAGCCCTTGACCTTAATTTCATTGCCACCACTCTGATCTCTTAGTACATTTCTTAGGATTAAGGGTCAAAAAATGCTGATCTAAAGAGTTGCTAAGTGGCATTGAACAATGCAAGTTTGTATTAAATGAGCTCTGCACTGCCATCTATGAAAGCCTCTTAATGATGTTTGTTTTCTTGTCATTTTTGTTCTTTACATCAAGAAACTGTACAAATATGCAGAGAACGTATATTGCTTCTGCTTTTATCAGGGTGCTAAACCCTGGTACTTCTTATATAAAGTGTATTAAAACTGGGGTTTGTTACCAGTTGCTGTACTTTGTATATAGAATTTTTATAAATTGTATGCCTCAGAAATAATTTATTTTTAAAAAGAAATTAAAAATTTTAAATCTGCACCCATGTTACACCTTTCCTCCCTGAAATGTATGGAATCAGTTTGTCACCAGGGATCCAAATCCACAGTCCATTGTGAAGTGTGCCCTATCTAGAACAGTTAAAATGTACAGTGTATTTTATAGATCTGAAGTTAACATTCTTATTTTCAAGAGAATTTATGGACATTGTAGAAATGTATAAATGCATTTCCAAACTGCCTTAAACATTGTATTTTTATAGACATTCTTTAAAAAAAAATCTTATGTTTTAAGTAACTATGGCTTTGTGTATTTTTTTTGGTTATTTGTTTTATTAAAGTGTACATCAGTAAAGAGTTTTAAATAATGAATATGGTGTAGTTACTTTTCCAGTTACATTGTGGTTAACCCAATAATGGGTGAGGAGGGGTGTGGAGGGGCCACTGGGAATCTGTCAACCATCAACTGAAATTAAAATACAGTACAAGACAAGAAATGAGGGCTATTATTTCTGCCTTTAATTTAATGAACAATTAGACATCTGTAAATGAGGCAGCTAAAAAAATATAATTGACTGGCCTCCATTGCTTTTTATGTTTGTGGAGCAAATTCACAAAATAGTGACTCCTCTCTAATTTGGAGATAACTCAGACATCTCTCCTCCCCCTTTTCCAGTGGAACCCCCCCCCCCGCTGCCCCCCCCACACACACCCAAGCACAACTCCAGGAGTGTCCTGTAGGCTACTAGACATTCTCATACAATCAGACGTGCCAATAACATCTGTTACCAATAGGTCTTAGGAAACCTGCAAGACTCAATACTTCAAAGTCATTTTCACACTTTGGGTGAAAAAGTACAAAATTTTGTTACAAAACATTCAGGAGAGCGAAAGTAAACACACTGGGGAGAGGAACAATTACCAGAACTTGTAATATTGTTGTGAGGAGTTGTTTAGCAGTGGGCTGAAGGCTGGGTTCCTGCCAGAGCTACTGATCTACACTCAAACGCCCTTAGATAAATAATTACACTCTTAAGCTGTGTCGAGTGCTGATACACTTGACCTTGTAAATAGAAATGTTTGCAGTAGGAATAAACTCCGGCATTGGAAAATCTTTTAAACATTAACACAAAAGAGAGCGCTCTGTCCTCTGGGGATTTAAGTCTGAACCTCGCCAAGCTAGGCACTTGCAAGGGGGAAAAAAAGTTTATTTATCTTCTATTCCTGGTGTTTATTTAAAGCTTTTCATTTTAAACGCGGTGATTGGAAGGCAAGTCAGGAGTTTAAAAGTCACCACAAATAAACTTTGTCTGAGGGGTCGACAGATTAGCAAGATCTCGTGTCTCTTTATATGATATTAACATGTGCTGAGAAAACATAACCAGATTTCTTTGCTGCCTGAAGTAATTAACAAAGCTATGCCCCCGCCCAACTTCCTCCCACCCACTCCCACCCCCTACTTTCAAGGTTTCTTTTCCTCTCACTCGCTCTTTTCCCAGCTTTTATGGAGAGCTTCTAGGCACTTGTTGCTGGATCTAAAACCAGAAGCTTCATATATGTGTAGCATCAGAAAGTCTTAGGTAGTTACAGTGTCAGAGAAAAGTGGTGTGTGTGGCTGGAATCCCGTCACCTGAATGGTTGAGTAAACATTGTTAAAACAAAGCTAAAAGCGTTTTCTTTGGGAAATGAGCAAAGGGTATTTATTCCAAGAGACTTACTTGTAAATGAAATCAGCTTTCTCTACAAAACGTGGACTTAGCAATGCTCCTGTTTGTCCTTAAATATATTTAAATCATCTCAGTCTCATGTTATTTTAACACATTGTTGACTAAAAGTTAAGTCTTTGTCCCAGTAAAAGACCCAGTTTCCCCCAGTAAGAAGTAAAAAGGCATTAGCACCAGAAAAGGCCTGATAATTAACTGCTACAATAAACTCACGACTTGATTTTACAGGGTCCTGTCAAAAGCATCTGCCTGGAATAAATCAACACAGCTCCTCTCAGGGAGAGAGGACACAAGGCCTTATGCTTTCTTGCTTGAGGAAAGTGAACATTGATCTGTGGTCCATTTCAATTTAAACAGTTCTGCACTGGAGCCCAGGAGCACACTCATCCCCCTGCAGACCCAGTGGATTCCAGAACAGGTTGCCGAGATGTTAGGACCTTCTACTTTGGTTATGGGATTGTAGGTTGCCATCTGTTCCTAGGCAGAAAGGATTTTTACAGATGTTGACATCTGTAATGTCTCACATTCTCTGGGGAGCCCTTTGGAATTTTTGGACATTTGAGATGGAGAACGCCTGGAAGTACCATTACTGGAAAAAAAGGTATCTCTGGCTTTTCCTGAGGATTTTCAAAAAAACGCCACACTTCTCACAGAAGTCTTCCGGGTTAGAGCAGCTCCCTTCAGATTTCGTGTAAAATCATGGGTCCTCACAGCCCTTTTTCCCCACTTAGCAGGTTTGCCTTCTCAGTGACAGTTTATTTGTCTTTAGAGGCACTTCAGTGACAAATGTTTAAGGGAGTGTGGGACAATGGTGGAGAACAAGGAGGCAGTTCATTGAACTGACAGTGACCATACAGTAAATAGAAGGAGGTTCAGGCTTCACTGCTCGCCCAAGCACACAGCAACGCTTTTGTATATGACCACAATGGACATAACATAAGGTCTCTGTTTATGTTTAACAATATATGGCAATGTACACAAGCAATATCCGTATATAAAGTGGGAAACTGGCTGGAGGGAACTAAATTTGTGTACTAAGTAGCAGGACCTCCCTTGGCTTGGCCAGGGCCCCTAGAAATGTCCAGAAGTAAGGAAGCGGCTCTTGACACCTACTGCCACAAACTTAAGGGGCTGCCATGCTGTGACCCATCTGGGGGGCACAGAAGCTCTCCCCATGGAGTCTGCATGGGGAAGGCATGACCCAGAACAGGTAGTCTCTTCTTTTCAAAGCATCAAGAGAAACTTCATGGAGTGGGGTTCCCTTGCTCATCACTCCCTGCGTTTGCACCGACTCCATCCCGGCAATGCTATGTAGTATGGACGAAAAAGAGAGGGGAAATGACCGGAGAACTTCCAGAGCCATCAAACTCTGCATTGAAAATCTTTCTACTTTAAACTGTGGCTTTGCATTATTAGCTTACTGGGTTTAACGGAGGACGTTCTCAAATAGAACCTCATGTATCCCTTTCAAGCCTGTGAAAAGAAAAGCACACATTATTTGCTTTTTGACCTCTTACACCAAGGAACATCAGAAACACTTGTCAGCTGACCCGGTATTCTCCCAGCTACCCAAAGCAAGGTTGTTGGGAAGCATCAGATTACAAATGCCTACGTTTCCAGCAGGTCTCACTGCCTTGTGAATTAAGTCAAGTTGGACGTTACTGTATTCTATATGAGGACTAGCCTCTGCTGGACAGTTGAAAAGTTTCACCCTGACTATCTGAATGACATAAGTAATGTGCTATTAGCATAAATACCTTCTAAGTCATCCATTTAATCAATTTCTTAAATCACAGAATGATCTACTACAAAATAGTGGACTGTATACACTATATTTTGGCACAAAGATGGTCATTCTCCCACTAGTAACCAGGGGCTCTAAATAAATGATTTCAACAATGTTTTATTAAAGGACGACAAGAGCCCTCGAGCTGCATTAATCGGGGAGAAGTCGAGTGGCACTTTTGTTATGGAAATGTTAAGCACATAATAGCACTGTGGAACAATGTGCAGCCACTTCATTCTTTCAGCCATGCTGACACCTCTTAAAGAGAAACTGCAGGGAAGGATGTGGGAAAGATTTGCTTTCCGAGGAAGCTTTCAGCTAATATTTTGGAGAGCTACCTCCAAACCTTGTGTAATGTGCGTGCAACAGAAGCAAGAAGGGCTGCTGAGATGCAGAAAGTGTTTTTTCCCTTCGTTTGGTAGCTTGGGTTCCATAATAAAATCAAATGTCTACATTTTTTTTTTGACATGGCATTTATCAAAACTACTGTTGCTGGTTTTCTAGTGCTATGAGTCCAATTTTATGATGTGGATCAAAGTTTCAGTTACTCTCAATAGTGCTGATATTATACTATAAGTAGCTTTGATGAGTTCCCCTGAACCACACAGTGTACGTCTTAAAGTCTGCAAACAGGTGAATACACACCATGTCATAAAGGACATCTTCGATCTGTAACATAAAATAATATTGTTTCCAGACTTTGTGGACACTCGTATGTTTCTAGTTATCAATATCCTTACAATTTAATTTCTATGTTTAAATTGTATAAATTCTATAGGGGAGTTGTAGGTTCTTGGATGCCAGAATGGAGTGATATCTCCCAACTAAATCTTATTGTATGTTTTATCACTAATCAGATGTTATTAAGCACCAAAAATAAGGAACATTTCAGTGAGGTTTGAGGCCTTTCTCATAGACATCTCTCTTATGAGAAAATGCCAAATGTCCAACCTTCAGTTTTAACCACTGTCACCTTTTACCTGTCACTTAGTTGCACCTATTTGGAGCATTCTTCTGTAGCAAAGATTGAAGTAGGCTTTTGTGATGACTAAAACTTATGTCTGTAATCCTGAACAGTTGAAGCGGGGCAAGGAACAAAAAGAGTCCATTTGGGTTCTACAGGCATCTGTTGAGCATCTACTGTGTGTGGAGACCAATGTGATTGTGCCTTGTCCCTGGACAAGCCAGTCGTTAGGATGGGAGACAGACACACAGACGCTTTCAACATCAAATGGCGAGCATAGAGGAAGATGACTGAATGATTTAGCCCAACAATGGATTTAAGGAAAGTTTCTTGGATAAGGTAACACGGAAGCTAATTCTGAAGACAGGAATGGGGGTTAGCAAGGAGAAAGGTGGGGAGGACATTTTCACGAAAGGGAACCGCAGAGGGATGGAACAGCATTGTGTGTGTGTATGTGTGTGTGTGTGTGTGTGTGTGTGTGTGTGTGTGTGTGTGGCCATTTGTTACGAGCAAAGACTAGAGTAGGAAGTAGCAAGGATGGGGTTTGAAAGAAGGGTTTGTACCAGGTCATAGAAGCCCGTATGTCAGGCTAAGCGTTGACTTTACCCCACAGAGGGTACACGATGGGAACACAGGGAAATCCCAGCTTAATGTTCCAGAGGTGCACTTTCTGGAGCAGAACAGATGATGGTCTTTAGGGGAACAGTTAGGAGGCTACTGGCAGGTCCAGTAGACAAAGGCCAAGGAATGAACTAGAAGAATGGCATTGAGAGGAAGGAAGAAGGCAGATTCAAGACACTGTGATTGGTCAGGTATGGAGTGTT